AAAAAAAAAAAAAAAAAAAAGTCCCTCTAGGAAGGAAAAAGACCCACTAGACATTATCCAACACAATGGAGTACAAAGGCTTTTCAGAAAGTAGGGATGAAGTGATTACAGTTCCAGTACTTATGACTTAGAAAAGTATTAGTCATTAACATGGGGGGAAGGGTGGGGAGGTGTATTCATCTTTACAAACAAATTTACTAGAACCACAGCACTTCTGACAACAAAGGAAAGCAGCAGTGAGTTGAATGAGTACAAGGCAGTTGACAAGCTTAAATGGAAAAAGAGAAACAAAAATAAAAAACTCCTAACGAGTGCCCTCCATCGTCTTAGGTATATATATTTGCATTTCAAAATTGGTGCCAGCTCTAACTACAAAGTGCAATTCTTCTTTGCATCAATTCAATGATAAAAACTACCAGACCTCATGATAAAGAGAACCGCCCTCAGTCCCGGGGACCAAGCGCGCACCCCCCCTCCCCCAGCCCCAGAACAAGGAGTCTCCACATCCAATAAAACAGCAACAGTAATAGGTAACCACTGAGCACCTGAAATGGCTGGTCCCAGTGGAGATGTTCTCCAAGTATAAATACACTGAAAAGAACATAAACTAGTTAATAATTTTTAGAACAGATAGTAATTTTGAAATACTAGATTAGATAACATTATTAAAATTAATTTCAGGGAGCCTAGGTGGCTCAGACAGTTAAGCTTCCGACTTCAGCTCAGGTCATGATCTCATGATTCACGAGTTCGAGCCCCGCGTCAGCCTCTGTGCTGACAGCTCAGAATGTGTGGAATCCCAAGGGGTCTGAGGATTCTAAACTTGAATCTACGCTTGCAAGTCTGTTAAGGTAGGAGGAGAGAGCATATTTTATTTAACAGTTTATTAGCTTGATTATAATAAATATTTACATATATGGGATGGGCCTCCATTTATACTCTCGCCCTAGACCTGTACATTTTAAGCACCGATTCTGATTTCCAAATATCTTAAATTTCTTTCCTTCCTTCTTATCACATTCCCCACATCCCTCATACTGCTCTTGCTGCAGCCCATCCCCCAAATTCTTCCCAGAAAAGAACACAGTGTCCAGCAGACTTGTTTAGCAAACAAAGTGTGTATTGTTTCTGAGAACTCGAGTTCTTGATCCGAACACATTAAAATTCATTTGTTTTGGAAACTCTAACCCTTACTCTCCTTAGAGTTCCACTTTTTCCTTATAGATGTGGAAGGCAGTCAGATTACAGGCATCTGCCAATTCAAGAACCCCTTCAGAGAAAGGTAAGAAGGCCCACCTAGAATTTACTTCTCTTAGGTCTTAAAACAGGGAAGAGACACCTAGAGGCAATGTTTAAGTTAAAAGAGAGAGAAATCAAAATGGGGAGTGGATGACCTTTCCTCCCTTCACCTTCATTCAAAGAGAATGTAGAAGAGGGGTCAAGGAGACAACATAGTGTTAGGGAAGAAAAGACTAGAAAATCTCTATGTCTCCTACAAAATAAGATTTTTAGCTCTGTTATCAATTACCAAATGTGCACAGACCCAGATTTAAAAAAAAACAGGCTGGTTTTGGAAAGATACATACTTGGCAAAATACTTTAAATAATTTCATTCTAAAACTATTATCATTCTTAAACCTTAAAATTAAATCCTTAAAATGAAATTACATTATATCCATGCAGGTATACAGATATTTTCTCAAAGCTGTTCAATATAGGTATGCAGAGGAGAATCAGAACATCACAAATTTAAGATTAATAAAAATTGGGACGCCTGGGTGGCTCAGTTGGTTGAGCATCCATCCGACTCTTGGTTTCCGCTCAGGTCATGATCTCCTGATTCGTGAGTCTGAGCCCTGCATTGGGCTCTGTGTTGACAGCATGGAGCCTGCTCCGGATTTTCTCTCTCTCTCTCTCTCTCTCTCTCTCTCTCTCTCTGCCCCTCCCCTGCTTGCACTCTCTCTCACTCTCTCAAAATAAATAAAGATTTTTAAAAGATTAATAAAAATTACTTTAATAATGATTGTAAAAACTATAGTGTGGTTGGTTTAGCAGTTAATGAGGAATGATTTTTCTTGATATTTTAGAAACTAAAGGACAAGAAACTCTGTAGTTTGTTTTTTAAACACATCTGTTATATATATGTAACATACACACACACACACACACACACACACACACACAGTATATACACATACACAGTGCTGAGGCTACACAAAGTTACTTAGAGTGGATGTATCTTCTTCATGTCTCAGTTATCTAAAGTGAGACTAGAGGGGCCTCTGAGGTCATTTTCCCTCGTTTCCACACTGACAAAGAAAGTAGGCTCAGAGAAATCAGGTAAGTATCACATACAACCTGAATACACTGCCTTTCAACATCAGCGCTACTACTTTTCATCTCTCTGGTTCTTCTTTTATCACACCTTATTAGAGACTTTAATACAAATAGACATCAATTACTAATAATTCTAAGTCACAGGTCAAAGAGTGGTCTCAGACCAGAGTATGGAACACACTCCTTTTTCGGCCTCGCATCTCCCACTGAGGGTAGCATTGTCGGTAATGGAGGACATGGTTATTTTGAACACCATGTGCCGTTCCATTTAAACCAGTTCAGACACAGCCCA